TGAGGTCGATTTTGGAAGTGGTGGAAGGTGGTGGTGGTGTTCATTTTGGCAGTGTTTCATAGTGTTTGTGTCGGTGTTGTGGTGGTTTCTTGAAAAAATTATTATACACAAAACATTGTTTTCAGTTTCAAAGTAAATATGTTTTCTAGTTTCGTGTTTTCATAAACAGTTTTCCAAAACAACAAACAGAACGCATTTTCAACAATTTCAAAACAGACACTCAAAACACAAAACACAAAACGAATTCAAAACTCAAAACAGAAAACTGAAATACAAAGAGAACGGCACCTTAATTCTCATACTCATTTTCAATCATATATTCACACAACAAAATATTTTGCACGTAAAAAAATCACTATTCAAAACTCCATTTTCTCAAAATAATGGCCATGGGGCTTAATCTGTCCAATTTATTTGGTTTTTCTCATGAATCACTATTCTGAAAATGTCTTTCTGCTATTTCATTGAATAGGTTAAGAAAATGATGCACAATATGCGTCAGTACCAAGTACCATTGCAAAGGTACATGGCTATGATGGATCTTCAGGTAGTTAAATAATTTTTTTGTTCATGAATCTTTGTTTACATTTCCTATTTTCTTCCCACAATTAATTTAAAATTGTGGTTATGCTAGGAAATTTTGCCATATGTATGCGCATAGTAATTATGGTTGGGGTTAAGAACACCAGTGGCCACTTACTTTTAGAACAAAAAACCATGTTGTCCTCTAAACTTCTTTTTGTTCTAAGTCAGCCACTGAACTTAAACTTTGTTACAATTAGGTCACTGATATTCAGAGTTTGTTACAATTTGATCAATCCATCCATGTCCATCAAACACCATCAGTTTGACTAACAGAAAAGCTGATGTGAGAATCTAGTTTGCTATTGACAAATAACTAGACTGCCACGCCAAATTTCCCATTACAAAACTATTGTGTATCGTCGGAGTGATTAAATTGTAACAGAAGTTCAAATCCAGGAACAAACTTGGAAGCAAATGAAGTTTAGCGACCAAAATGAAATTTCAATAAAAATTTTGTGAACCACCATTGTATTTAGCTTGATTGTTATAGTATATAAACTTTCTGAACATAAATCAGAGATTTTAAAAAACCTGAATGTTCCCTTTTTGTTTTGAAGTACTCTGGCATCCATATACCTACATTTAATAGCATGCAATGCTTACTGTTGATTTTTGTCCCCCCATGTTCAGGAGAGAAATGAAAGGCTGTTCTACAAGCTTCTCATTGACAATGTTGAGGAGTTGCTTCCAGTTGTCTACACTCCAACTGTTGGTGAGGCCTGCCAAAAATACGGGAGTATCTTTAGGCAGCCTCAGGGTCTATTTATAAGTTTGAAAGAAAAGTGAGTTCGGTTCCAGTGAATTTGTTAATTTTCCACTTTAGTGGCTGGAATGCTCTTCTATTGCATTTAAACTGATTACTGTCAGCGTGTCTGCAGGGGCCGAATTCTTGAGGTATTGAAAAATTGGCCCGAAAAGAAGATTCAAGTTATTGTCGTGACTGATGGTGAGCGAATTTTGGGGCTTGGGGACCTTGGCTGCCAGGTATTTAGACCTTTTCTATCTGGTTTTTTTTTTTCCTTCGATGGTTAAGTTTGATAATTGTATAAAGCGTCTCATTTAAGGCTCTATATGTCTGTGGGGTCCCAATTTGTGAACCTTTACTTGTGCTTTCATGTACCCAGAAATGTGCTTTTATTTAATCTATTTACTTCTAGTAACCTTCTAATGCTACCAGGGAATGGGGATACCTGTAGGGAAGCTTTCCTTGTATTCAGCTCTTGGCGGTATTCGTCCTTCTGCTGTAAGTATTTGCAAGACTAGCTTTCCTGTACTCTATAGAGGCTAGTCAAGTAGATTGCATAGAGTTTATATTACTGGTAATCTTGTTATGCTTTTTACTTAAAACAATGTAGTTTAATACAGTATTACACCTCAAGTGCATGTTTTGTACAAAGTAGCGGATAGCGGATAGGACTGGACAGTTTAATAAACAGGATTTAGGTTTTAAATCTTCTGTAACATTGTCCACAAATATTTACACGTCCACCAGAACTTCATCTTTGGTTTCTAGTCATTTGCGTCTTTTGTTTTTGAAATTTTGTTATGCTAATCTCCAATGCACCTCACATTCTACAGTCCTTATTTCTGTTTAGTGATTTGTTGTCCAAAGCCTGTGAAAGCTGAAGACGATATAAGTTTGATTGTTCTATTCAGTCACAATTCCTTTCTCTTTGCTTATTGATATTTTTTGTTTTGATAAAAGCGATTATTTTTAAAATGTTTTAAATTCATTTCAGTGCTTGCCTGTGACCATTGACGTGGGGACGAACAACGAGAAGTTGTTGGAGGACGAATTTTATATTGGGCTCAGGCGAAGGAGAGCAACTGGGCAAGTAAATGATTGGCTTCTCTGTAACTTTAGTCTCGATAGATTTTAAAGGCAGCTGTATTCTTTTCTGCAAAGATTGAACTGAAATTGTTATTTCTAGGAATACTCCGAACTTCTCCACGAGTTTATGTCTGCAGTCAAGCAAAATTATGGGGAAAAAGTCCTCATTCAGGTTACTCAATTTTTATGCAATTTTCGATTTCTTCACTATCTTTTTAATTAAATCTAATTCAAATAAATATTTGATCTACATCATGCAGTTTGAAGACTTTGCAAATCATAATGCTTTTGATCTTCTTGCAAAATATGGGACTTCCCATCTTGTTTTCAATGATGATATAGAGGTACACATACAGTAAGCACTATTTTTCTTCAATTTTGGATGTATATGCTTGTTTGAGTGTTGTTTTCGTCTGCCTCATAGATTTTCACTTCTTGCCCTTCACTTTATTTTTATTTGAGGCTGTCAACAGAGTCAAGAGGATCCCCAGAGTCCAATTGCTTGATCCTTTTTATTTTAGAACCAAGCTCAGATTAATTTTGAGTCTGGTTGAATTTGAGCCACAGTGTAAAAACTGAACAAAAATGTGAGTCAATAGGCTCAGTCCAACTGGACTGCTTAATTTAAATCAGCATAGTAAATTATATATAGACCCTGTTTGTTTCAGCTAAAAGGTTGATTAAAATCTAATCCAAAGTCAACGATTAATTCTAACCCCATTTCATGGGACCGACAACTTTTCAATCCCACATTTCAATAACTTTTATTAAAGTCTACTAAAAATCTGATTTTATCTAAACCAAACAGGGGCATAAAGTTTGTTTTGCAATGCGATCTTCAATATTTATCCATCATGTTCATTGATATTTATCCTTAACATCAGAAGGTTTATATTTACATTTTTAAATTATAATTTGAGAAGTATAAAGGAACTTTAGATTGGGAGATCACTATAGATGAAGTTGAATTTGTTACTAGATTAAATAAAGTTCATATTTTTGCCTAATGGATCTGGATATTTTCTCTCAAAATTTATTATTCTTACCGTCTTCTTTTGCATTTTACCCAGGGGACAGCATCTGTGGTCCTTGCTGGGCTTATTGCTGCATTAAAATTAGTCGGGGGAGCCTTGGCTGATCATCGATTCTTATTCCTTGGAGCCGGAGAGGTGTTTTCTTAAAGACTCGTCCAATCATCTTGTTCACCATCTCATCTAAAAGTATATGATGTTATAGAAGGGTCATATTTGTTCGTTTAAATATTGTCTTCAAAACACTCCCTCACGTGTAGACCGGGTTTATTGTTTTGGTCAAAGAATTGACACGTGCACAATTTTTTATAAATGAGTGGTAGCAAGACTTGAACCTAGGAATTTTGACTGGCTATGGTACCATATTTGTTAACCATCCCATCTACAGGTTTAATCGAATGTAGTCGTATAAACCCTGTCTTTAACCAATTTCATTTCCTTGTTATGCTTCAAAGTATAGATTGTACAGTAAAAATTAAGTCGAGTTTTGAATGTTGTAATTGTTGATTGGTGTAATTAGTCGAATTTTGATGTTACATTTTGAATCTGTTTTGCCTTTGTGCCCTCGGCTAATATTGTCTTAGAGCATCTTAAGATCTTTTCTTATATCCAGTGAAAAATATAAGAATCTCCTTTCTTCCATGTTCAAATTTCTCTGCTTATATTATGCATCTCATTTCACAATGTTCTTAATGCAGGCTGGAACTGGCATCGCAGAACTCATAGCACTAGAAATATCCAAACAGGTCAAAATATGATGAGCCATTATATCTTTATCAATTACTCAGTTCTTTCCTCTCTTTAAGTTTAAATAAGAAGAGAATTTGGGAATTCCACTCATACTTTTATTGTATGCGCTATGCAGACAGGAGCTCCATTGGAAGAGACTCGCAAGAAGATTTGGCTGGTGGACTCCAAGGTAATGAAACAACTACATTTTCATTTTTTTATAGTCACATTTTCTTTATTCTTGTCTAAATTAAACACTCACAAAATATTTTTCCTTTCTAGGGGCTAATTGTTAGGTCCCGCATAGAGTCGCTTCAACATTTTAAGAGGCCATGGGCCCACGAACATGAACCTATCAACAATCTGGCAGACGCTGTTAAGGTGTGAACTCTTTTTGGCATATTTGATTGGGAGGAGTGGATAGCACCAAATAATATTTAAAAAGACAAAATGTCTTGCCTATTACGTTGTCGAGTTGTATCCAATATTGCGTACCAAATATGTAACTTGTGCATGATTCTGGTTCTCACAATTGGTCTTTTACTTGTTTTGTTTTGCCAGTCCATCAAGCCGACAGTATTAATAGGATCATCGGGAGCTGGAAGAACTTTTACCAAAGAAATAGTTGAGTCTATGTCGTCATTCAATGAGGTAAAGCATCATATTTGTGTTACATGTTGGGCATGTTTGTCTAAGCTTAAAAAAAATGTAAAAGCTATTTACGTAACTTTTTTGTTTCCAAACATGTTTGGAAATGCTAATTACTTATTTTGAAATTATCTCTTACTTTACTGTCCAAATAAGCAACCAACTTATTTCCGATTTTGACCAATTTGAAAAAATATTATTTCAAAACTTACAAGTAAACTTTTTAAGCTTACATGCTCGTTATGTCCAACAGTTTAAACTAAAGTTCCATATGATTGGCATGTAGAAACCCATTATTCTTGCACTTTCCAACCCAACTTCACAGTCGGAATGCACAGCCGAAGAAGCTTATAAGTGGAGTGAGGTAATTTCCTTCTGCAGCTTTCATATCTAATACATATTATTTTTAACTTTTGGAAGGTCAGGTTTATGCCTCCTTTCCCTTTGTACCCATGGACTTTGTTTTTATGTATATGGTGGGGCATACAACCCCCCCATCAACATTCCCCGGTGGGGCCTGAAAACCCACTAAGGCTATGCTGATTTTTTGCGGGGAAAAAAAATCATCTAATACATATTATCCATAATTGTGTTCATTTCTACAAATTCTGATTTTATTACAAGACATTCTAATTTTTTTCCATGTATCTTTCCAGGGCCGGTGCATTTTTGCCAGCGGGAGCCCATTTGCCCCAGTTGAATACAATGGAAAGGTCTACCCGTCTGGACAGGTGCAGTCAAAACATCCCTTAACTACGATTTATTTGTTATTTAAGACCGAACTTTATGACTGATTTCAGTAGTATTCTGGTTCAGGCAAATAATGCATACATCTTTCCTGGATTTGGTCTCGGTTTGATAATTTCTGGTGCAATCCGTGTCCACGATGAAATGCTCCTGGTAGCCTGTAAGTGACGGAAAATTTAACTGAATAGAAGTTTTAATCCAATGGAAATTTTTCATACATTTAGTCTATGAATTATCTATAGTTGCTTGCCTATAGCTCAATTCCTAGAGCCACTCATCACATGCTTTCGTGGTTATACTGTGTATCGGCCTAATTGGGGATTTTGCATACACATTTCACATTAGGTGATTAAGTCGCCCTAATTTCCTACAAAATATATCAAAGGAACTTGAGGAGCCATTTTGCATAGATACATAGACAGAGGTCGAGGGACTTGAGATCTCCATTGTGAACTTTCTTCTCAATTTTAGTGATAACTTGCACGGTCAAGTGGACATAGTGAATCACAATAAATTTTTGAGTTTTTTTTTTTCCCCGTCTGCTTGCTTATCATTGCTCTCGGAATTAAGGATTATACGTTAATGCAGAACAATGTCATACATTTCACATCATATCTTACAATCTTGACCATCTTGTTTTCTTCAAACAGCGGAAGCATTAGCTGAACAGGTTAGCCATGAGAACTTAGAGAAGGGACTAATATACCCCCCTTTCTCGAACATCAGAAAGATTTCAGCCCAGATTGCTGCTAGAGTAGCCGAGAAAGCTTTTCAACTTGGTAAAAAACTAAATCTTTATTCTAATTACATTAATGTTCTTGGTTGAAGTAATTTGGCATATCTAAGTATTTTGCATTTTCTGTTGCTTTATAGGGTTGGCGACTCGTCTACCTCAACCTGAAAACCTAGTAAGATATGCAGAGAGCTGCATGTACAGCCCCAATTATCGTACCTATCGTTGAACCGGTGGAAACATTTTATCGTTCTCTAAATTTAGTTAATGTCGTTTTTCTTGTTAGTTTTCCATTTCATCCCCTCTTTATTTATGTTATTTTTCATCCTTCGATTTCTTTTCCTTCTTTTCCTGTTCTTGGACTATCTTCTTTCCACCTTTGCCTTGAAAAAATTACAAACGTGCTACTTATATGCCATATAACAAACAATTTGTATGGAGTCTGTTTGGCAGGATTTCTACTTCATGTTGAAGAGTTTCTTGAGAAAATTACATTACATCAGATTCCTTTAAAAGTTCTTTTACTCAAACAGAACATTTTTAAAAAATTATCTAAATATATTCAAAAACTTCTTATACTCAAAAGTAGCTTTTAGCTTTTCAAAAACCTTGTCAAATGAGCTCATAATCTCCATTCTTGCTAAGGATAACCAAGGAGAACTTGAGATTCTCAACTTATCATTACTAGTCGCAATAAACATGCACTTTATATTCAGATATAAAATTTTACCAAGAGCAATAGAAAGATTACAGCCCAAAAAAGAAACAAGAAACAAAAGTATAGTTCCCGTTAAATGACACAGATTGAACCATAGGTGCAGCTATGTACAAGCAAACAAATAGATATAGAAAGCACTGACAAAGTGAAGTTGAATGTTCTCAAGTAGCTTCTTTAAGGCGAGAGGGATTTTTTGCCGTCTATCTCCCCTGGACGAGGCCACTGAATACTTGGCTATTCCCGGCAAGCGTTGCTTCCCATTCGACAGAGGATAATAGGATCTGTGAAAGTGATATCACTACTTGCTTCATGTCTGGTCTTAGAATGGGATCATCGTCCACGCATTGCTTCGCCAACATAGCCATCTGCACCAGAATTCACACCAACCAAAATTATTTCCCAATCCCTTTCTCAATCACATTTCAGAGACATTTTTTACTAGATAAAATTGACGTACTATTATCAAAGACAGGATGCAATAAAGTCTCACCTTGAAAAGGCAGTGAAGCGGATACAAATCCATTAAATTAGGATCAACGTGATCCTTCAAGCTTGACATATTCATGGAGTCCTGTGAGTTCCTCAGAGCCGCCACCATCTGTAACTTCATCAGCATTAGGAATTGACTTACTAAGTTTTTTACATATGAATAAAATTTCAAAGATTTCCAATAGGAGGTCCTACATTTTTTGAGTTGGTTGGTCCTCGACGAACACAACGTTGGGACCTTAGGATTTAATTACCGGTGCAATGATCTTTTTATCTGTCACTTGCTCATTACTAGAATGTGTTAAGACTGATATTCCTATTTAGTCATCTGACACGACAAATTATTTTCACTTCGGCTGTGAATTTCTCATAAATACATCAATTCTAAGAGTATAAAAAATAAGAAGCCTTTGCAGTTTCACACAATATTGGAGGCAATAAGAATTCTCGGTAGTTCATAAGTTGGATAGAAAGAACTTGCAGCAGAAAATCAAAGCAGTCATGCATAGGCATATCATCTTTAAGATAAGAAATAAGAATCTACGCAATCAAATGGATGCAACGCCAATTCACGATAAATTAAGGAAATGATGACTTATTAGGTGGTTTGGTGCAGGCAGACTTACAATGGATACCAATGAACGTCTTTCAGCAGTTCTCGTCATGGCTTCCTTTCCAGATATTATTTCAAAAAGTGCAACGCCAAATGCATACACATCACTTTTAATTGTAGCCAGGCCGTCCCTCAAGTATCTAGCAAAACAGGGAAGAAAGTAATAAGAAATCTGCAGCAAACTTGCTAGTAACTACTAGCTTGTTTACTTACTCTGGAGACAGATAGCCGTAAGTTCCAACAACTCTTGTTACTGATTCTTCTCCATCATTTGTTTTTAGAATGAGTTTTGCCAAACCAAAATCTGAAATCTACACAATTCAAATTGACCAGATAACTGGAAAAAAATAATAATTAAACATTGAAATTGAGGTGGAATAATTGAAACCTTTGCCCTAAAGCTGCCATCGAGTAAGATGTTGCTTGTTTTGATATCTCGGTGCACATAATGAGGTTTTGTGTGCTCATGTATGTACTCGAGACCTCTAGCAGCATCGAGTGCAATCTGAATCCTCATGATCCAAGAGAGTGATGTATGACCTATCCATATCATTCAGAGTTAATCCTCACGCAAACAGTCTAGCATCTGGATGCTTAAACCTGAACCCTTATGTATTAATTTCTTGAGACTAGACAATGTAGAAACCAAGAATAATCCGAAAAACAAGAAATGCTAAACGACTATGTAAAAAAAATTCTAGAAAAAGATTGTCGTTTACGTTATACTGATTTTATCATATGCTTCACGCATATCATTAACTAGGCATTGGACCAACTTTTAGCCAATAAAATATAGCCTTTGTTTGTTTCTCATTATTTTTGAAAAATGCTATTCATCCCCAATGGGGATGCATCCTCAGTCTATGTGGATGTAAATAATTGGTTAAATGATAGGTGAAATTAAATGACTTATTTAATTTCACCTATCATTTAATGTCACATTAACGCCGCATAGACTGGGGATGCATCCCCAGTGGGGATGAATAGCATTTCTCTTATTTTTAAAATACATTTTTCGCTCTTATTTTTATGAGCAATGCTACGTTACCAGAATTTTTTTTTTTTACAGAAATGCTACAGATACTCACATTGGGGGTGGGCCCCATTTTTTGAACATTATTTAATTCACATGGGGCCCACACCCCATGTGAGAGTCTGGTAATGTTCTGGTAATTTTATTCTGTACACTCAGAATTTTCCTATTTTTATCTACACATTCTTCAATAAAATAATATGATATGCAAACCCAAAATTTTTCCTTATTTTTTAACCACACATTCTCCATCAAATCACTATTCCAAAATGTATTTTTGGCTAAAAATGGAGCTCAA